CCCAGCAGCGAGGCCATGCTGGACACCATGGCCGGCCGGGCGGCGGCGGCGGCGGGGGCCAGCTCCTGGTGCGGCGGCGGCGGCGGCGGCGGCGGGGGGCGAGCTGGGCTGCTACCTCTTCAACTGCACCCACCGCGGCCGCTCCGTCTGCCGCTTCGCCCCGCACCGCGGCTACAGCACCTACAGCCGCCGGCCCGCCGGACCGGCCCCGCCGCCGGGTAAGGGGCGCTGAGGGGAGCGGGGGGGACACCGGGAGGGCGGCACCGGGGCCCGGGGAGCGGCGGCCCCGCAGCGGGAGGGAAATGGCGGCAGCGGGGGCGGGCAGGGCCGGCGGCCGGGCCCGCTCGCCGCCGCGGCGCCGCCATTTGCCACCCCGCACCGCCCGGGAGCTGGCCCGGTGGGGGGGGAACCCTCCGTGCGCCTGCCCCGGGAGCGGGGAACGGGAGCCCGGGGCGTGAGGCATCGCCTCCGCGGTGGGGGAGGACGAGGAGTTGCAGGCAGGGCTCCCCCCACCCGCACCGAGGCGGCCCAGCCGTGCCCGGGGGTGCGGGGGCTCCGCGGAGGGTGCGGGCTGGGAGAACTCGGCCCTGGCACCTCTGTCCCTGCGGAGACCCGGGGGGCGACCGGATGGCGGGGGGGAGCCGGCCGGTGGGGTGAGCGTGTTCACGGGCTCCGCACCCCCGTGGGGACCGGAGGGGTCCCGGCTGCAGGATCCGGTTCCCCCGGGGAGCCGCGGGTGCTGGTCACCCCGGAGAGAGCGAACCGCAGGTCCCAGCCCCGCCAGAACCTGGTGCGGTAGCTTGGGAGCAAGCACAAGCCCTTCCTTCTTCTCGGGCTGCTCTCCAAATGGTGCCACCTGAGCGGGGCTCCCCTTGGCTGAATTTAGGCTTTTTCCTGCTTAAGAACTCGGGAGCTAGACTGAAGAAGAGGAGGATATCTCACAGGGAGTCCAGAAGCAGGATGGAGACTCCATATCACTGCCTCTGGAGTCTGGGCCACATCAAAAAAGCAGCAGTTTGCTCAGCCCTGAAGTGTGTTTAAGAGCAGCATAATCCAGAGCAAACAGCTGTGGATGAAAACAAGGCTGGATTTCTAAATTTGGAGTCCGTTTCCTAGCATCTGATCCAAAGGACTTCCTCTTCATACTCCCCCACCTCCTGTTGTTAAACAGTTGCATCTTAATTCACTTTGTGTAAATTTTATTACCTTCTGCTGACAGTACTTTCCTAAATGCCCTCTTCTTCAGCAATACATCTCAACTTCAGTAAATTAGCAACGTGAAGAAAGCCTAGAGGTGGTGCAAATGTAAGCCATGTGTCCAGATGGTGCCTGCTATTACTGCTCCCTTGGCAGGGGAAACCTCAGGCTTGATCCTCTGTCCAGTCCTGCCTGTTTTATGAGAGTGCCAACAGGAATCCCCTGGAGATAAGAGAGAACAAGGGCTCAATTTTTGCAGGAGTTACGATGCTTAAGCATTATTTTTTTTTTTGCAAAGTGCATGGGCAGGTAAACTAGAGAGCTATAGGGAGGAACTCGTGGCAGTAAAGATGGTTTTAAGATTCCAGAAAAAAAACAAGGTATGATTTTGACATTTTTGGTGTTTTGAAAACCTTTGAAAATATCGGCAAATGTCCTTCATCATTTTGAACTGCCTTAATTCCATTAAAACCTGTAGAGTGCAGTTATGGCATGATATAAATAATACTACTGTTCAAATGATACTCTGCCTGTTATAAATCTTGAATTCCTTGAATTTTTGGTGCCTTGCCTTTTAGGCAAGTGACTATCAGCACTGGGCTTGCAAGGCAATTTCAGTTCCTAACCTGCAAATAGCTTTGTGTCCTGTTGGATTTATTTAAAAGTCTGTCTTGTGGGAGCTGGTGGTATCGGAAACAGGGGATTATGATTTCTTAATGCAATTACGCTGGAGCTGAAGCAGAGCCACGAAGGGGAATGAACTTTTATTCAAACATCCGTTAGCCATGACATAGACCAGGAGAGATAAAATGAAGATTGAATTATTTTGCTGTCTGATGTTATGTTATCACCACATTCTTGGATTACTTTGAAAAATTAACCTGGACAGCAATGACATCACAGGACGATGAAGGCACACTTCTTCTCCCGTGTGTTGATTGAATTTAGGAAATTTAGGAGACAGCTTTGCATTTCGAGATTTTCTTTTGTGAGGAGATCATGTTTTACCTGTTGCTTTTGGGGTTTTCTAGAGTATTGTGGCGTTGAGTCTTCTGCTGTTCTCTTTTTGATTAATCCCAAACCAATGTTTATTCATAAACATGGTGTTCTTGTAATTCCAAAATATTTCTGAGCATTGGTATACAGGGATCTCAAGGGTGCTGTGGTTTCATTTCTGTTAAGGATCTTCAGTAAACAAACCCCAATTTCTTATTTAATTCTGGGAGCAATTAACGACAAATCTGTGTTCTTCAGATCAAGTGTATCTCTGTGTACTTCCAGAACAGTCAGCAGTGGGATGAGTTTTTGAGACTGAACATCTCAATATAAATCCTTGTCCTTCGTTTTACACCCAGTGTGTGCTGGTTTGGCTGTGGATTTACTTTGCACTTCCAGGCAGTTTGTGCGGTGTTAACAATTAAACCCCGTGTGCCCTTTACTGAAAGAAGAGGTAGTTAGTTTTGCCTTAGTTAGGCAAATTTTTAAACTTTGTAGAAAGAAAGAGGACTTGAGTGCCTCACCGGGAATGTCTGACTGTTCCTTCTGTGCTACTCACCAGTGGTGAGCAATGGGAGGATGGATCAGGTAAACTGATACCAAAGACATTCAGGAATCAGCAGTGAAATAACCTTCTGTAACAAAGCCTTCATTCAGAAAACTCGCTGGCAGCTTCGTTAGCAGCAGGACAGGTAAAGGCAGATGAAGGCAGCAGAATGAATTAAGCCTGTTGTGTCCCCCCCTAAGAAAAAAGTGTTGCTCATAAAGTTGCAGCCCCTTTTCTAGAGAGCAGCCAGCTCCAGCACCTCAGAGTGTTGACCTGTTTGATCTTCATATTGTTTATTTATGTTCAACCTAAATAAAAGGTAGAAACAGAAGTTAAAAGAGCTTGATTTTTCTGCTAGCCTGTGGCTGATAGTGCTTTACTCCCATGAACAGTGGTTTTAAGTAGCTGCTGAGCATGCTTTTTTACACTGGCTTCTTAGAAGCATGCATTCCCCAGATTTGGAGGTATTTTAGTCCCTAAGGACAATGTATTCCATTGTTTAAAACCTCTCTGTGGAAAAAAGAGTCTTTAGCTCCATAGGCTGTCTCCTCCCATGCCAGATGTCTCTCTCAGGCCAGTTTTTTCTTTATTAGAGCAAAAGGGGAGCTGATTTGCCATTGATTTACTTGTCTGAAGATGTTCTGGTGGCTAAGAAGCAAAGGCAATGGCGCCTCCATCGTTTGGGACCAGAGGCCTGAGTGTGGTCCATCTTTTGCAAAGAGCTGGCGTGGATTCCTGTGACCTGCCCCAGCATGAGGTGCTCCTGCCATTGCAACTCAGGATGCTGGGGTATAAAGTTAGTCCAGGAAAAAAGAATACCCTTATTGCCTGGGGCCCAGGGGAAGGGGGGCTTCTCTCTGCTTTTGCAGGGCTGTGATCGAGTCATTTAAGCCAGACAGGTGACATGAAACCTCTTTGCAAGGTAGAAGTGGAAGAATGGACTGTGCAGTTTCATGCCCAGGTTGGTCTCTTTTTGACAGTCATCGGTAAAGCAAACCATCATGTGAAGACTGTAGGTAACTCCTGTCTACCAAAGAAAAGTTGCCTGGGCACCATAATGATGGTGTTTATTAACAATAAGGTTTTGGAGGGGTTTTGCACCTAAATGGTGTTTTTTAAGCATAGTTGGTTTTGAGAAGTGAGTGTATACAAATTAGGCAAAGCTTCCCATGCCAGCTGGATGAGCAAGAACTGGTCTATACTTTCTATTATTAGACCTTGTTTTCAGTTATTTGTACATTTCCCTAAAGTGAAATTTTCTGTGCCTTACCTACTGCTGAGAAAAATGAGAAATAAAAACTTTGCCTTTTAGTCAGTGATAAAAAAATTGTCCTGTTGTTCTGATGAGCTCTGTGCCTTCGAGCAAGTTCTGGAAAATGGAGCTGGGAGGGAGAATCTCTGCCCTGGTGGGGAAGCACCTTGTCTTCCCTTGTGTAGCTCTGCCCACGCCGGGTGAACTTACATTTCACCTCCTGTTCAGTAGGTGCTTTTCTGAGCTTAACATCCACATCCTTTGCAGGGTGCCCTTTGCAGTGGTGGAAGAGCAGAAGGCACCTTGGGACTTAAGGGTGCTGGACATCCCATGGTTGCAGAGAAGGAATAGAGCTTGGGCAAGGAACTGCAAAAAGATACCGTCCTGGGGCTAAAGCAGCCCAATGATGACTTGTAGAACTAGATTTTTTCCCTCTCTTCCCTGTGCCACCTGAAGGTTGCAAAGCAAATGACTTAAACTACTTCTCACGGGCCATGTCATAGAAGAATTGTCTAGGTTGGAAGAGACCCTTGGGATCATCGAGTCCAACCATCTACCCTACTCTACAAAGTTCTCCCCTACACCATATCCCCCAACACCACATCTAAATGACTCTTAACCTACCATCAGTTTTGTCACTCCAACCTGAAAAGCTTGTGGTCAGATTGGCAAAAGTATTTAGTGCTCACAAGTTTAATCAGAAGGAATTGTACTTTGCATATAGCAACATGGTACGAATCCTAAATAGTCTGAAAATCAAGCTTTGAATGTCTTAAATCAGGCACTTAAATTCAGTCATGGTTTCTGATTATTTTTAATCGTTATGTTATTGTGCACTGCTTCACTAGGGTGCCAGCTTATGTTAAATTAGTCTTTCACTCCGGTAATGATGTATTATAAAAAGAGACTAAAAGAGTATTAAGTTATGCAGAGTGCTGAAAAGGTGTGCAGTAACTGCCATCTGAATAGGTATGTGATTCATATTTAAATCCATTTTCTTTACTTCAGGTTAAAAAAACACACTGGTGCTAACAATCCTGTCGCATCAGTGAAACACCCGTGCACGCAGCGAGGTTTTCTACGCCACGTGCTCCTAATGTAGCCGTTATTTCCTGAAGACATCGCTGAATATGGAACAGTTAACTAAAATCTAAGTAGACACTATTTTGCTTAACAAAATGTGCGCTAATGAACACGTCCTGTCTGTCAGGAAGTTCCACAGTGGTGAATCAATACCTTTACCAAGAGAAAATATGTTTTATGTAAATAGCCGCTCAGCTTCCCCTGATAAATAACTGAGCTTCTCTATTATTTTTTTTTATTGAAGAAGAAGAATACGACGAGCCCCCACGGTGCAAGGCGGGGCAAGATATTGTGCTGCAGTCACCTGTCGACTGGGTGCTTTTGGACGGCCGAGAAAGCTCAGATGACCACGGAATTGTGCAGTACGAGTGGACGCTGCTGCAAGGTGACCCATCGGTTGAAATGAAGGTACCCACGTGGCTTTGCGCATGGCCAGTCATTCGCAGGTTGTTGTGTTCGTTGTAGCACAGTTTTAAATGCAGAACTAAAAGTATTATATGTATTCCAATGGATATGGCTACCCGGCACCAAAATTAGGATGACGGTATAACTCAAGCATTTATTTCGTAGAACCATAGAGCAGCCCGTGTTGGATGGGGTCTCAAATGATCATCTGGTCCAACCTTTTGTGGGTCTACTGCTAGGTACGCATCTCTGGAAGGGTGACCACAATCAGACAGTTCTGAATTACCTGAGGCTGTATTGCCATTTGCAACTATGTCAAAGACCACTGTGAATTTGTTTATCTTCATTTATTATTTTATCGGCTTGAAAATTAAAAAGTCAGAAGGCTTTCATAAGGAGTCCAAGCAGCATAATACATAGAAAAGACCTGAATGGAGTTTAAAAATAATTGCTAGATATCACCTGGATAAAATGAATATTTTATTATCAAGACTTATTAATCTGACCCTTTGCAGCATATTTTCTGTAAATAGAAATCAAATAGTCCTTAAATTTGTCTCTGATATAGTAATATATCTAAAGTAACACAAAAATTAGAAGTAAAATAAAAATTTAAAGTTCATGTTTTTACTTTTACTCAAAATGGCAAAATTAACATTAATCTTGGTGATTGCTTTATATTTGATAAATCAAAACAATCTTGACACAGGTTTCTGTTTAGATAGATACTTTTCCGTTGTGTCCAAATGGGTGGATTTTCACTCATGGATGAGTACCCTGATGCTTATCCATGATAATTTAATTTTTTAGAGTTGAATTAATAATTGTGATTATCTGTACAATATTCAGTTGCTATTTTTGGTGCTTTAGTTGCTATCCTGAAGTTACTGGATTTCATGTCATCTATTCTTGGAAAACTATATACAAATCCATAGCTACGAGGGAGAGTGGGGCTATGTTTAAATAAGATAAAAGGCAGCTGTTGCTCTGCACTTATGTACCAAAGAATAAATAGAAGGTGCAGGAGGGGGAAGGACTGCTATGAAGAGATCTTATCGTATTGTAGAAGGAAGCCAGTGGAATTTTTTTTCTATTGTGACTGATTATTGCTTCTTAGATAATTTACTTCTCAGATTGCTCCCACGTATGGAGCTGCAGAGCTCTGTGACTCTTGTGGGCAATTCTCGGGCTTTTAAAGTGCTGATTGTCTGGAAATTTACTGTCTAGTTTAAGCCAAAGTTTGTAAGAAATCAGGTACAGACTGATCCTTCAGGGCTGGATGGAGATGAAAAGGAAAGCACAGAGGTCACCAGGACGAGGGGCGGTGTATTCAGAAGTCAGTGGTTTTCTCTGGCTCTGCGCTGAGAAGAGAGTTGGACTCCACGGCTCAGGAGTTTAATACCATATTTGGTCTCCCAGCACTCACAGTGAACAGCAGGAGGTGTTTTTTATAACACAGATACCAACTGGGCAGAGAATGGATTGAGGGCAGCCCTGAGGAGAAGGACTTGGGGGTGTTGGTTGATGAGAAGCACAACATGAGCCAGCAATGTGTGCCCACAGCCCATACAGCCAACCGCATGGCCAGTGGGTCCAGAGAGGTGATTCTGCCCCTCTACTCTGCTCTGGTAAGACTCCACCTGGAGTATTGTGTCCAGCTTTGGAGTCCTCAACATAGAAAGGACATGCACCTCTTGGAACAAGTCCAGTGGAGGGCCACAAAGATGATCAGAGGGATGGAGCACCTCTCCTGTGAAGACAGGCTGAGAGAGCTGGGGTGGTTCAGCCTGGAGAAGAGAAGGCTCCGGAGAGACCTTATAGCAGCCTTCCAGTTCCTGAAGGGAACCTACAGGAGAGATGAGGAGGGACTCTTTATCAGGGAGTATAGTGATAAGACGAGGGGTAATGGATTTAAACTGAAAGAGGGGAGATTTAGATTAGATATTAAGAAGAAATTCTTTACTGTCAGAGTGGTGAGGCACTGGAACAGGTTGCCTGGGGAAGTTGTGGATGCCCCATCCCTGGAAGTGTTCAAGACCAAGTTGGATGGGGCTTTGAGCAGCCTGCTCTAGTGGGAGGTGTCAAAGACCAAAACATTACAGGTTGATACACATGCTTGATGGGACTGGCTACACTTAAGGGAAATATTTAACCTGTGTGAAAAGCATTGTGTAGAAATGAGCTGCCTATTTCTAGAAGTTTTTGGATGGGTCCCTTATACCTATTTTTTTTCCTACTGTGTTTCTTTAATCAGGTACCACAGCCAGGAACACTGAAACTGTCTCACATCCAGGAAGGCGGGTATGTTTTCCAGCTGACGGTGACAGACACCGCGGGTCAGCGGAGCTCTGACAATGTCTCCGTGACCGTCCTGCCCATGGTTCATTCTGCAGTAGGTGAGGAAACGATGGGAGCCGTTGTGTGTGTGACACCCAGGGTATGACACTCACAGGGTCATGATGGAGGCAGGAATCTTATTCTCCATTTCCAGTGGGTTATTTTGCCCTTATTCGTTACATGATGACATCTCTCTCGGTTTTGAATTGCCATTTCAAACTGAGGAAGCAAGCGAGCATCATTGTTTGTTAGAGTGATAATACTTTCAGGCATTTAAATGTTCAGCCTCGTGTTGCTAATGATCGTGCAGGGTCAGAAACATGAAATACTGCCGTAGGTATCAGTTCATTGTACAGTCGGGCAGTGCATGGAACGTGGCAAGGCTTGTGCCATATGGAAAACACAGTTAAAAGCAGTTAATAGTAGGTATGATACACATTAATATTAATATTGGCCTGCATCTGTAGTCTAAAAGATGGGATGGCTCCTTGTTTTCATGCATTTAAGCTTTTCTGTGTAATGGTTATCAAAGCCTTATGTTACCAGGGAAACTGAAACTGGAATTGACCCATCATTTTAAAACTCTGACCTCCAGAAACACATAAAAAGTATAAAAGGTAGCAAGTAAGTTAGAGTTCAGCGGCTGTCAGTTCTGCATTCTTGAATGTAATGACTTATAATTACATTGTAATTAGCAAGCTGCTAATAGCGATCTGCTCCTCTGGCCCAAGGTAAAGGGTAAACTAGCATTATGGCCATGTTCAGCTGGACCAGTAAAAACTTTGCTCCGCACCACTGCAATATCTCAACGTGAGAGGGTGGCCCCAGTGGCAATAAATCGGTATTACAAAAAAACCCAGCAGTTATGAGTCTGTTTAATAACGGCTGTATTCCAGTAATGGATGACAGAGTTGTATTCGTTAACGTTTAGTTCCGCTAAAGCAGCCAGAGAGGTTTGGTGATTTATTTATTTGCTGCGGTGGGTGTCTATCTGTGGTACCTTTTGGGAGAAACATGTAGAGGGTTTGCTGCCTTTTTTTCCTCCTTCTAAATCCCTGAGTCCGTTTGCAATCTGTGGTATCTTTTGGGAGAAACATGTAGAGGGTTTGCTGCCTTTTTTTCCTTCTTCTAAATCCCCGAGTCCGTTTGCAATTCACGTGCTACTGCTGTAGTTAAACCAGTCCACGGAGCCTTAGTGCATGCAAGACCAGTGATATTGTTAGTGCTGAAGTTTAGGAGATGCATTTTTAAAGCATGATTTTAGGGGTTTTAAATAGGTGCCTGTGTTCCTGCCGTGCTTATCCTTAGCGTTAGTGCTGAAGTTTAGGAGATGCATTTTTTAAGCATGATTTTAGGGGTTTTAAATAGGCGCCTGTGTTCCTGCTGTGCTTTCCTTAGTGTCGAGCAGCTTTTTGGTACACAGCAGGGTAATAACCAAAGGCTGTGACTTCCTTATGCAAATGGATTCGCTGTTACAACATTTAACCAAACACTGAATTTGATAGTGCATTACCAAGCAATGAACGGAAAGGAAAAGGAAAGACAAAAGCACAAATGTAAACGCTTGATAATGACAAGGTGAGAATGGGTTTCGGGAAAGCTTTGAGTGTTTGAAGTGAAATGTCCAGGGACACTCTCCATTTCCAGGAGAACCTAAATATTTAAGGGAGCAGCAACCAGTTCTTTTTGATGAAGGTCACTTGTGAGAACTTGTGTTTAGTCCTGTTCTGGCATGTGCTGCGTTGGATTTACATTACTGACGTCAATAAATGACGAGCATTCTTTTAGCATTTTAATTACATTGCAGAAAACATGCCATAAAAGCTCCAATATAGTCCATATGCGTGCATGTAAAATAACATATTGTCAGAAATACAGAATGGGTATGTAGTAGGAATTACGTGTTGCAGAGATGCAGTTACAGCCATAGAGATCTCATTTATTTATTTTTAGGACTGTCCTGGGTCTTCTAAGCCAGGGAAGATCTCCTTTCAGCTTAGGCCAGCAGAGTTTAAAGTGCTGTAGGGTGCTGCACAAGGTGTAAGGTGCAACAGCCTCCAGGTTGAGCATTCCTATAGTAAAACGAGATTGCCAGAATAGCGATGAGGGTGCCAGGAATAGCTATTAGCTGTATCAGCTTCCGTGTCAAAACAGCATCACGTAGCTGAGCCTGCCTTTCTTCAACTTTCTGCCTTGTTCTTGGCCCTTCTAGACATGGCATCGTTTTGCTTTTTTCCTTGGGGCTGCAGACTTTAGTCATTGACTGAGTATTTACTGCTTGGAGTTCTCTTTGGTGATTGGGGAACTGTTTCTCAACAGCCTGTGTTGGGGTTTGCTCTCGCTACCAGTTTATCTGTGACGATGGCTGCTGCATCGACATCACCTTTGCCTGCGACGGCGTGAGACAGTGCCCTGATGGATCGGATGAGACTTTCTGCCAGAACTGTAAGTGCCCCGGGCCACGGCGTGGGTTGTGAAGAGTAACTGCAGCCTGAGTGAGCAAAGGGGAGCGATGCCCCGTCTGTGGCTTCTCTGCCCGTGTCAAGCAGCTTGTGCCCACCCTAGAGCCTTTCATTGGAAATAGCTCCTGGGAAGGTTTAATGTCCGCAGACAGCAGAGGCTCAGAAATTAACTCCCTTTTCTTCAAAGCGTATCACAGAATTGCAGAATCACATGGGGTTGGAAGGGACCTCTGGAGATCATCTAGTCCAACCCCCCTGCCAAAGCAGGTCCACCCAGAGCAGGTTGCACAGGAACAGGTTTTGAATGTCGCCAGAGATAGAGACAAAACTGCACGGGTTTTGAATGTCGCCAGAGATGGAGACAAAACTGTCAAAGGTCCCCAGATGACAGATTTTGTGTTAATGTTCTCAACATGTGAAAGATCAGTTCTTTACTTTCATGATGACTCTGGAAACAAAGGCCCTGGTCTTGACCTGAAGGAGTGTCTCAGAGGTTCCTTTCCTGGTGCAGCTACACACTTCCAAGGCAAGACTCTGAACCACTGGAAAATGAAAGAGTGTCTCAGAGGTTCCTTTCCAGGTGCAGTTACGCACTCCCAAGGCAAGACTCTGAACCACTGGAAATGTGAGCACGTAGGGGAACCAGTTGATTCACCGTCGCTCTGTTTGCTTTCATTAGTCATCCTCAGTGTGTGCCCACGCTCAGCTAAGTGAACAGAAATCATCCGAGGGTGAATTGGCAGGATGGCTAACCACTCTTGCATTGATATTTCAGTTGCTGGATTCCACTTCAGGGCTCACGTGCACACTCTCACTTAAGACCCGACAGCGGGCAGTTGTACCTGGAACTCACGTTTCCTCATATGTCTGAACCTGATGAACTTGTGTAGCCTGCCTCGAGGCCCGTATCACAGGGTCTCCCATCCAAACACTCCCACATTCCCTTCAATTCTATATAAAAAAAACCCATGATGATTTTTGTTTCTGTTAACACAGTGAGCCCAGGTCGGAAGACGGTGACTCACGCGGCCCTTGGCACCGCCCAGCAAAGGACTGTAGGACTGACTGAAAACACGGATGAAAACTCTGCAGAAAAGACCCTGAAAGCCACTGCCAGAAATCAGCCTCTGCTCTCAGTGGATGCAGAAGTGTCGAACCAATCGCTTTCTCAGGGACCAAAGAAACAAATCAGTGGATTTGTGCCAGGTAAGAATTGAAACGCATCGGTTTCAACAAATCGTTCTCTTTAAAGAGAGAAAATGTCTCCCACTTTAAATATAGTTAAATCGTCTTCTGGTGCCTGGCTAAGAGTAAAAATTTTCTAATGTACAAAATGCAAAAGAAGCTTGTAATAGTTAAGTTACAACTAGGTATTGCTTTGTAAAGTCAAGTCTGGTTCTTAGAGGGTGCAAAAAGAAAGTTAAAGTGTATGAATGCCAGAAAAAAAATGCAGTCTGAAGGAACAAAACATGCAGTGAGCTAAATAAAAATTCTGCCACAGATTCAACTGTGTAGGCTGATGTATAAGGCTCTTTAAATCTGCAGGGGGGTACCTTCAGGAGAACATAAAAAAGTACTGTTCAACTTGGGTGACAGTAATTGCACCTGTCCTGATGCTCATCAATGACCTTTTCTTCCCACCTGAAGTAATATCTTGATTATTATTGGCACTTTTTTTCTGAAGTACATCTCCAGGGCAGGAGAAATTTTTTATTACTATAGAGAAGGCTCAGTCTTTGGTAACAAGCAGCCCCAGGTCCCCAGTGGCTGCCAGCCTGTTGGGAGTCAGCATGTAATGATGCTACAGGCAGAGTCCCTTGGTAAAACTCCAAAAGCTGCAATGAATCTGGTGTGTCTTTTGAGGTTCTTGCTGGTGAATTAAAATGACCTGAAATGGCAATTGAGTGAAAGCAAAACTGCATGCACAGAGCCTAAAATGAGTGCGAGACCTCCCACTTTTGTTTCTTCAGAGTTCACACTGATTCTTGCTACTTAAGATGCAGCTAATTATAAACAGCTTCATTTTCTTTTTACAACAGAGGAGTGCTTGGTGCCCTCTGCTGCTGACTCTTGTAAAGGGCACTTCCCTAGCTGGCACTTTGATGTTTCTTCAGACGCTTATATTTCATCTGTGAAGTCCCCAAAGGGAGTGAAAACATTTCTTCGAGAATTTGACTTACTCGGTGAATGTGTAGGAATGGAGAGCAAAATCCCCTCTCAAACGTTTCCCCCTTTTCTGGCAGCGTAGATGACCTCAGTGCTCCTTACTAGAATAATTCAAAATTCTGAAGTCTGCCCCAGACCCTTCTTGCTGGCATAGACCCGGGTGACACCTGACATGATGCTACCCAAAGTAAACGTCAAATTGGCAGAAGGCATTGCAGGCTCCAATGGAAAGTCAGCTGCTAAGTCGCTCTCAAAAACCATTGGGCTTGTGAATCCAGAAGTAAAACCAGAATTGAAGTCACCAACTTTGGCACTTTGTAATCACAGGTTATAATTGGAAGTGCATGTAAAAGAGTGGCACTTTCAGATAGTCATTTTCTGTGTTTACCCGTTGCATAGTGACTTGCTTGCACTGGTTTTGCTCTCAAGGAAGCCTTTTACACAGCAGTAAACAATAAAAGAAAAAAAAAATTAAAAACTAAAATACGATGAGTGTACTACCAGAAGCTGTTGTGATCTTTTTAATTTTAAATGGGCAAGATAGCCAACTGACCATGTCTGCTTTTCATTCTTGTGGTTTTAATAATGCCCTTTTGTCAAGACTCAGTCAGAATTTAATTTCAGTTAAGTGATACTTAAGGATTTCCTTATAGAATAGTCCTTTGTGACTCAGAATCCCAATACCTTTAACCAAAATAGCTGCAAACAGCTCCTCCAAAGACCAGCACAACATTCTGCATGGTTGTCCCTAAAGTGCTCCGGCGTCCCTTTCCAGGGAAGCTCTCAAGCCCAGCTGCCCACCCTCACACTGCTGGGCTTGGACATGAATATAGCAAAAATACAGCTGCAGCGAAGGACGCTGGAGCCAGCAGCGGGCTGGTTTCTGAGCGGCAGTAGCCAGTCTAGCAGCCACGCTGATGGGAGCCAGTTGACTTCACCAGCAGCCTGAAGGTTTGTGCTCCCCAGCGTAGCCAACTGGAGTCTATAAATCACCGTAAGAGCCCTGCATTCCCCTGGCACAGGGTCTCTGCCTCTGCCTCTCCCTCCCCTGGCTGCCCGCCCCAGCTGTTGTGGGATTACAACGTTTGACTGCGCGCCCAAGCCGTCGGCATGTTTTTGCCACGGAGGCATCAACAGCATTGGCCATTACCTGCATCTCTGATTTAGGGTAACTGGAAAGGGCTATAAATTGCAATTTCCTAAGCACAGACTAGAAAATGAAGAGAAAGTCAAAATGCTTTATATCGGGCTCCTAAAATTGTTTGGGTAAATGTCTGTTTTCTAGTTGGTAACAGATAAGATGTTGAGCGGTATTGACTCTGGTAGCCTCTCCGGTCCTGTAAGAACAAGTCTTAACAAAACCCTACAAGCTTTCATAGAATCATAGAATGGTCAGAGTTGGAAAGGACCTTTAAAGATCATCGAGTTCCAACCCCCCTGCCCTTCATTGAAAAGATTCTGTTATTCTTCTACCCTTCAAAATTTTCCTGCTGAACTTCCCTCCATATTCAGATACATTTGCCAAATATCTTTACAAGCAGTTTTCCTAAATATTCCCTTTACTCAAAGGGCAGGGAAATGAATTTATAAAACAGGCCTTTAGATTCAGCCTTGTCATAAAGGCTGGAGCAGCTCTAAGAAGAGCCGATGTCTTTTGGGTATTTCCAAAATAAAGACAAATATTCATTTAATTTCACTTAGGGAAGCCAGAAGCAGAAAATGGCTGCTGGGTTTGGTCTCAGTTACCTTCAGGTTATTTTGCACAGCTCTGATACCATAGAGGTGCCTTAAAGCCAGCACAATTTACATTTAGGATTGCCTGAAGTCCCCTATCCCTGCCAGAACAATTTACAGAGCCCCAAGGAGACGGGGAGGGGCTGCAGGTCCTTTCTAAGGCATTTCCCAGCGGGTGAAGTTAGTGTTTGTGCACCCCTCACCCTGAGGGCAGGGCAGTAAAGGCAGAGCTTGGAAGGCTGTGTTGTGCCTTAGAGTGGGGACCACTAGCTCTAAACCCACACCAGTATCAATGACACCATTTAAGCTTTAATTAACAGTGGTGTCTATTCGCTGCTGGCAGGGAAGTGTTCTGCTGGTGGTGGTGGGTGGGGGCTGCACGTTCCAAGCTAATTGACTCAAACACCTCCTTAACACCCACCACGATATGTAATCCCAATTACTACGTTTCACATTCATATTTTGCAGACCTCGCAGCACGGTATGTTTCTACTGGCATTGTCACAGTTCCGATGGCTGCCAGCAAACACATCACAGCACAGTCAAAGTGCTCCTCAATATTTACCAGTAAAAAACAAATATAGTCATTACATTTAAAAACATAGGGTTATTTCTGATTTTTGTGAGGGTGTGATTAAGCTGTCACTCTTGCACGAAGTGTCCCCATAGCTATCAGTGTAGGACTTCAGCGGGGGTGCAGGAGGAGGGGGATCTCACCTGAGTTGCTCCTTGCTCCTGTGGGGCAAAACTGCAACCACCCGCACTCTCAAGATGGACACTTCTTGGCAGCAAACGACGCGTGGTCTCCTCTTGTGTAGTTACAGTGTTCTGCTATGCCTCCTGTACTACACAAAGCTGAAGCGACTCCAAGTCATCCTCTCTGAAATGTTCCCCCACGTATTTTTATGTCTTCCAAATACCTAAGTTGTGCATCTGTCTGTGTCAGGTAACAGGCAAAATTAAGGTAATTTGTGTAGCCAACTCTATGCGTTTCCCGCTTTACAAGTTCTGTGGGTGCAGATCAACATAACTTGAAATGGCCACATTTTGACCTATAGATAACTGCTTCACCAACATTTTAGCTTGGATTGCTCTATACTCCATTATGGAACCTTGTAAAAGAGAATTTATATCCATCTTTTTTCCAGTGGAAAATGATCCACTTGGCTCTGGTTGAGATGCATTGTGGTTTGCGATGCAAAACTGCATTTACGTTTTAGCTTTAGTTTCACATAATTTCAAAAATTCCAGTTATACAATTAGGAGTCAGAAATTTTTAAACTTTTTTTTTTTTCTAAATTTAAGCATTTTCACATTATTTAGTTCTAGTGTGCTGTGGATAAGTCTTCCTAAGTCTTCCACTGAACTTAATTATTCCTTTATCTTGCTTGACTTTATGCAGATAACAGTTCCTCAGGGAAAAGAACAGATGATAAAAATGGGAACGGCATAACTGTGCCAAAGAGAGATCAGCTTGGAGGTGGTCGTCCAGTCCCAGAAACAGGTAAGACCAGCCATGTGAATTAATTTTGAATTATGTTAGTTTTTCAGTCAGGTGCTCTAGGTCCAGAAGTTTCTCAGTATGAGTTGCTTCAAATGTTAGCACATAAGTGATAGACTGGCTGTATTTTTAAAGAAGAATTTCAGATGTTCTCTACTGATTTCTCACCGTATTAAATAAAGTGTAATTTCTCTTAACCTCATTGTAGGTGCTGTGTTACCCTTAGCCTTAGGCTTGGCCATCACTGCTTTACTGCTGCTTATGGTTGCTTGCAGACTGCGTTTAGTGAGACAGAAGCTTAAAAAAGCTCGACCCATTACATCTGAAGAATCCGATTACCTCATCAATGGGATGTATCTCTGAAAATTGGATTTAGGTCAGTCGTTTTCTCCCCTTTCTCCTGTGTCCATGAACCTCTGCCTCTATAAAAGGACCGAAACCTTTAGCTAAGTTTGAAGTATAGAAGAGAAGCCCGTGAGATGAGAAACATGTTCTTCCCCTTCGGTGATAAAATAAAAAAGTGGGTAGATGCCCGTGCTCAGAAAACAAGAAGCGCTCAGGCTCCAGAGAGTAGCTCCACTTGGCTCTTGTGCAGAAGACACTGCAAGGTGGGGACACCCCAAACTGGATGTGAGGTGTCCTTGCCCACCCTCCCACAGCAGCGGGGGTCCCGGCCATGGCAGAACGTGCCCTGGGGCCAGAGCATTAGAGCAACCCAGGCTCAGTGGCCCCAGCCACGCTGGCTGAGGTATAGAGGGAAGCCTGTGCCACCCTGCTCTTCTCGGCACTGCCACCGCTCTGGGGGTTGGGATGGTCCAGATCAACCCGTTGCTTCCCTGTCCAGCAGAGAGCGATTTGTGGACTTTCTACCTGATGCACTGGGAGTATTTTCCTTAAAGAATTTGTCTTGCTTTATCTAAACACCAGCTTTTGTAATGAAATTTGGGGTTTAAGGAACTAAACATCTCGTTTTCATTCGCAGTTTAAGCCTCTCCGCAGCTAGCGGAGGGTCACGCTTACCAAATGCCAAAATATAAAACCACAAGTCCTCAGCAGAGGAGCTGGGGCTTCCCCAGTAGCTCCACAGCAGTCCCCTGCCACCCCAGAGCTCAGGGGTCCTCTCCCCAATAGCTCAGGGCTCGTTCAGCCTCGTCCACCCCCTGGCTCCACACCCTCCGCAGCAGGAGAGGGCAGCACCCAGTGGCTTGTACCCGGGACACCGGAGCATAGGATTCCCACCGGTTATCCCATAGCTCCCCGCAAAGCTTGAAAGCTTCAGCGACCTGCCCCCCAACCCCAGCAAAGTTCTCCTAGAATTAGAGCAAGTAATTGATATGTGTGAGTGAACTCCAGACGTGTTTAACAGTAAAATGTGTACAGTACATGTTAAATATACATATATATATATATGCACACACCGTGCTGTCTATCTTGTCTGACTGTCCAAGGATGTCACATTCATCTCGGGTCCCAATAAAAACAGAGGCAGATGAGGCATGCATCTTTTTGTATGTCGTCTTTTGTACTTCAGTAACTTCAAGTCAGCCAGAATATTGCCATGGTATACAAATAGTTCTTCAAGTTGCTCAGTCTTGATTACTTTATGTAAAATAGCTCTAATAAACCTATTTTATTCTTATATTTCTTGCATTGCCTTGATTTTCAGCTACCAGCTCAATTTTGTTGACAGAAGTACATTCCTCCTCTCTGTGAAACAGCCTTAAAAGAAGCTGCAATGTGTACGGTGGGGGAAATTGTCGAGATATTTTGTTGTAGGAAGACTGAGAAGAACAGGCCATCTCCCTCCATGTCTCCATGACCTGTCTCTCGAGCAGTACTTGAGCTGAGCAGGACAGCAGGCTCAGAGCCCTCCTGTCACGGTAACCAATGTCTGGTTGTTTGTGCTTCGGCATTACACTGAGTCCAGGAGACCTTCTGCTGATGTTGCCCGTTTCTAACTTGGGAGCGTGGGTGTTATGGTTTGAGAAAACCCATAACAATCTATTGTCATTTACATAATTATTCTATCACCTGACGACCCCTCCCTGCCCGGAAAGGGGGAATCGGGGAACACAAAGAAACACAAGGGTTGAAACATACATAGACTTAATAGACTAAGACTAAATAGTTGACAATAATACTAAAGAACCAGTGTTAATCCCAATACTGATATAAGATATACAAGAATTATACTCAGCCAATTCTTTCAGGGGGAAGCTGTGCACTTCCAGCAGGGACAGCAAATGGCGGACACTGTGAGCGCAATGGCTTCAGGAGGAAGGGAAGGCCTCAGGGCTCCGGCACCAGGGCAAGGAGTTGTCTGGACCCGCTGCCATCAAGGGAGAGAGAGCTACACAGCAAACTTTTCTAATTTATATTGAATGCAACGTTCATGTATGAAATAATCCTGTTGGCCAGCCTGGGTCAAACGCCCAGGCCTTGCTCCTCCTTGTCCCTGCACCTGGCAAGGCTTGAAAACCCTAAAACCTTGAATCCCACAGAGCCTGGCTGGCTATAAAGTAAATATTTTCACAAATCCAGGCATTAGAGTCTTCTAGAATTGCAATTTTCCCCAGCATTAGAAGAAAAGATAGTCCTGTGTCTCTCAACCCGGGACAATGGGTTTCACCTGTGACAGGCGGTGATGAACACCCCCAAGCAGAGCTGGAACTATGGCAGCAACCAGAAAGCGTAGCATGGGAGTCTGGGCTGTCCCTGTGTCGTAGTTGCCACAGTCCTCCCAGGGACCAGCGCCAGAGTCTCAGGGACTCTTCTTTATAGGAGGGGGATGGTGGCAGTTCCCTGCTGTGCAGGCCACCAGCCTCAGGCCCGGCACTTCTTGGGGAATTGCAAACTCCATGGCTGGAATGAAATTTTAAAAAGTTTGCACCTTAACCGGGGAGCCCGGGCAGCTTTCAGCTAGATGAAGAGCAAGACAAAGTTAGCAAAATAACAGACTGGCTTGGCAGCTCCTGCCATTAAGAAACAGTGGTATGATACCATGTCTCAATAACATGCTACTTGGCTTTAAAGAAGTGGCCACAAAGATGATTAAGGGCCTGGAGCATCTCTCTTATGAAGAGAGGCTGAGGAACTTGGGTCTTTTTAGTCTAGAGAAGGGAAGGCTGAGGGGGGATCTGATCAATGCTTATAAATACTTAAAGGAGGGAGTCAGGAGGACGGGGCTGGTCTTTTCTCAGTGGTGCCCAGCAACAGGACAAGAGGAAATGGGCACAAACTTGAGTATAAGAAGTTCCACCTAAACATGAGGAGGAACTTCTTTCCCGTGAGAGTGGCAGAGCACTGGAATAGGCTGCTCAGAGAGGTGGTGGAGTCTCCTTCTCTGGAGACATTCAAACCCTGCCTGGACAAGATCCTGTGCAACCTGCTCTAGGTGGACCCACTCCGGTGGGGGGGTTGGACTTGATGATCTCCAGAGGTCCCTTCCAACCCCATATGATTCTATGATTCTGAACTACTGAGCCAGAGCACCTCTGAGCACTGCAGACAGAGCTGTGGCAAGACACCCTTGTCGAGATGCTGGAGGTGCTGCCCAGTCTCCCTGGGCTGCTCCCAGCCACTGCCTCCTGCTGACACCCCTTCTGTAGCTGCTCCCAAGGTTGGGGCTCCCTCGCCCATCGCAAAGGTTTTGTGAGCAGGCGCTGCTTCTACCCCATCTTCATGGTTGCGTTGCTAACTGCCCCCGTGGCTTCTCATGCAACCTTGAGGAGCTAGGGAGTTTTATACAGTGTTTGTACTGCAGCAGAAGGGAGATAGTCTGTGTGAAAACCAAACTATATCACCATCACTAGATTGTCAGATCTTTTCCTGTCCTAACTGCTGATACGTGTCTATCCACTCACCTCAGAGTATGCTCGGTTACCAGTGTGCTTGAGACAGATAAGCAGAGAACATTGATTGCTCCTGCAACATAAACCTGTGGATATTACTCCTCTCTGTATTAGGAAAGGTCATCACAATTTGTTTTGTCAGTGTATTTTAACGTTGAGCAAGATATGTATTTCAGTTAGACTGCTTTTTGTATTTTCAATGGTTTTGCCCTTCAAACCAGCTTACACACACTTAAGGCTATAAGTTATTTCAAAGTAACAGGCATTACTTACCTGGGTTTTACCCATAGTTAGAAGTCAAGTTTTTTTCCCCATAATGTGGGTGGGTTGCTTGCTGCCGCCTTTTGCAGGGGATCCTCGACTGAACATCCTGGCTGCAGCCTTTCCATAGCACTGCAGGATTATAGCAGGGGCAGTTCCAGAAGCGCATTTGCAAAACAAAAAGGCTGAAATAGGTCAGTGTGATGCTCCATTTGCTTTTTAAATCCTAGATAAAGCGGAAGAGTTTCAATTCCAAACTCCACAGAACGAGCCAGCAGCAGGAACTCGTAGGAACCCAAACAAAGAGAGAAGCTGCTCTAGTAAGCCCCAACAGAATTCAGTCATGCTCCCCTGAGGTCTGCGCCTGCTGCTTTCATCACAGTATAAGCAAAGGGAAAAGTTAGAAAAGATTCAGAGAGAGATGGTGGACATAAAGACCAGATGGAGACAACATGCACACAGTAATTAGTACAAAAGAAGAGAGCCCAGGGAACACTAGGCTTGATCTGAGTAAGAAAACATGCTGTAAACAGGCAATATTTAGAGAAAGAAAAACCCAAATGTGTAGAAGTACCTTTACTATGTATTTTTCAACTAAGAGTTACTTAAAACAAGTCAGAAAGTGAGAATGTAAGGCTACAGATACATTTGTAACACAACAGAAACACCTGCTGAACATTGCCCTCTGCACAGGAGCTCTAAAACACCAACAAATCAAAGGCTACCAGGGCTGAATCAACACTAAAAGCCAGTTCAGAAACAAGTTTTTAAGGATACCCGCTAGAATTTTAAGTTTCGCATTTGCAAGGCTCCTGGCTGACAGTATATTATAAACCACTCGTAAATCAATGGCACCTGTATTTTGAGCAGGCAGAAAGACAACAGCCAAGGCAGAAAGGTTCGGTGCTGTGAGGGACTGAGAGTCTCAGTCTGCAAGGATGTCCTCAGCTGTTCAGCCAACAGAAATCTTTAATACCACTTTAAAGAGGATAGAGCAAGAAATTGTAACATAGGTCTTCACAACTACCAGCTCCTAATGCCCAAAAGAGAGCCGTTAAAGGAACCTAAATTCAAAACAAATGACTGAACAAAGCAGATACAGAGGGAGGAGGGAACCTGAATGGGTGCAGGACGGTGGAAAATAAGGACTATGGGAAGAGCATCTCTGAAAGCTAATTCCATGCACAAGAGATGATTTTCCTGAGGCTGCCTCTATAGCCAGAGGAGATGAGCTTCTCCAGAGCTCTGACCAGAGCTTTAGCCCAGGCAGATGCTCTGAATCACCCATTTCCCTAGAGAAAGGCCTTTAAGAGTGGCCTCCCAGTCCATAAGGCATCTGAAAAAAAATGTTACTCATTAACCTCAGACAGCCCTTCTCCATTACAGCCAAAAAAAAAAAGATTTGGCAGAACACAGTAAACAAGATACTTCATCTGTTCATAATGAAGACACCTACAACACAAATATATGCCTAAACATGGCTAAAAAAAAGGACTTCAGCTTCTCAGTAGCATCAGAGCATCTATCAGGTCAGTTCCTCAGAAACACATGACAAAAATGGCTGAACTACAAAGAAACATTGAAAGATTGAAGCAAGATCTCAGAGAAACTCCATCGACAGTCTTCACAAAAATAATCTGTTGTTGCTAAAACAGAGCTTTGTTAAAAAGGCACAGGATTAAGTCTTTCCAGTTTTCAAGTTCAGTGTGATGAGACACAAAGTGGGTTCTTTCCATCTCTCCTTCCTGAAGCTTTCAGGCTATTTTCAACAGGCAGCTGGAGCTCCTCCATATATATGCCAGCAATAACTACACCCATTCAATTCATAATTTAAAGAAATATGATTTTAGTTCCTGAGCACATTCTGCCGAGCATCTCATTAACAACCTGCCAAGAGCATGAGAGAACAGTAACAGCCATTCATGGGAAAACTGGGGAAGGCATTTCACAGCTGCACTGTGAAATTGTACAGTGTGTAAAACTACCACCCGGGGCAGAAAGCAGCCCCGTACGTCCAGGATGACACATGGGAGGCAAACAGGACAGGCAGAGGAATGTTTATAGCATCTCTGCCTGCATGAGGCTGAGATTGAACCCAAGCTGCTTTCCTCAGGCCTGGAAACCCAAATCCTGCCACTGGGTGCTGAGCACACCAGCGAGTATCCATCACAGCAAAGGCAAAAGGGGCTTTATGGCACCTAAAGTGTCTGAGCACCTCTGACTGGTTTTCAACCTTTCACAGTCATAAGCAGAGGGACAGGAAGTCAAAATCAAGCCAACAAAGGCAAACTGTATGAGCCCACAAGACCAACTTAAACCCCGCACTTGAATCCATCTATTGTATACCACAGCATTTAAACTCTAACTTACATTTCCTGATGTGTAAAGTCTGGACGTCCTGAAATGCAAATGCAAAAGGCCAATTTCAGACCTTTTGGGCACCACTTCTCCTCCCTTTTTTTTTTGTTGTTGTTTTATTTGGCAACAATGTGCTTGCATGACTTCATCGTGCCTTTCTCCTGAGCCA